CTGATAGCTATCGATATCCAGCAGCGTCTGTCCGTTTACTCTACGAAGTTGTGGGGTAAATAATAGTCAAGAAAGTGTTTGATCTATTTTATTCATCATCAGTATTTTAAACTTTGACGCATCTCGTGGCAGAAAGAATTTAATATATAAGTGCATGTACATGTACGCTTGTGTTAAAACAAACAAGCGAATTATGCAAAAAAACATCCGTAAATTTGCATATACAAACCATGAGACAGCAAAAACATAAAGAAAAAGTTAGCTTAGGGGCACTTTGTGCGGTATATATCTATACCTAAAATAAGGTTAAAAATTGATAATTTTAGCCTTTTTGTTTTGATACAGCAAAATAACTGAAGCACGACAAATTAGCTGTAGAATGCGAGACTGAGATAGAAAGCAATAAATCGAGAGAATGTCCTTCACTCAGTTATCGTCTAATTATTCTGTGACTGATTTTTCCAGATCGTTGTCGTATTTTTCCGATGACCAGATACCAAGGAAATTCAGATGTTAACAATCAGAGATTTCATCATAGTTGCGAATAGTGTTTCGCTTGGACGTTGATTGTAAAAGCCTATAGGGAAGGGCTCGTCCTGTGAGTTGGCGGTCTCAACCCCGTCGATGCTCATGTTATTTCGGAAATGTGTACAGTGGGGATTTATTTACTGCTACAGTAGGCTGATTATTCAATTTGGTTCTAATCATACTTATGGGGACAGGCCTAAGTGTTTGTCTTCAAACACTTCTTTCCCATATGAAATCTTTTTTTATTGCTCAGGGATTTTTGAGATTAAAAACAAGAATCAAAACTTTTTCATATGTCGGGTTCACCTTAAATTTAAATATAGATTCTAAATAAGCAGCATCTCATTCCGTCTATCCAGATAGTGCTGTAATTTCAGTAGAGTGACCCTTAAAGCATAGACTGAGTCTCATTCATGAATGTTTGTGAGGAAACGTCCTATGCTTTTTTGGACAATACGTTGATGGATGTGGTTGTCGAAAAGTGAAATCTAAAGGTTGTAGAACTCGGAATATAAACTAGTAATCCTGGGGATTGTCGAATACGTACTGTAATAGTCACCACTGGAACAGCTCTCAGATGAGAGGTAAGTGAATATGCTCGAAATTACTGTACTCGTTATTGAAATCAAGTACTCAATAATACACAATGTAATCATCATCACACATAAACAGTGTGACGGGACATTTTACTACTCCAAGAAGTTCCAGCAACCATGATGAAATTACGGAAAGAAAATCGCAAAAAATGTAAAGATCTAGTTTAACAAATCTCCACAAAGTTACCTTTCAGATTCCTCGGAAAGGATTATTGTAGCAAAATGTTGTCGTCCAAATTGGACTTTGCTACACATATCATATGGCTGACGAAAAACTATCAGTTATTGCTTTTCACTGAAAATATCCAACTGGTACGCGCTTTTCAGAAAAACACTGGAAGCAATGCTATGTAGTGTGGAGTCGAGTCGAGGTTGACTATGATCACCACTACAAGAAGGTAGCTTACCAGATATCAGAGAGGCGATTAGAGGTTGTAGCGAGATATATTTGTTGGCAATCTCATGGTGTCGAAAGAATATCGAGATCGTGCCAAAGGAGTACAAGCGGAATCACTAAGCAAACGTAAAGAAGTGCAAAGTCATAATCAACGGAAGAAATAAGAATGTCTTTAGTACAGGTAAACAAACAAGTACAGTAAAACAATCACTGGTACAATTGGTTATGCTAATAATTGTTTCCAATACACCAGTGGCGTTCCCTTGATAAAAGTAGGTCTCTACAGACATTGATATCAACTGTTGTAGATACATTAGGGATTGCAATAATATTGTAATGTAGCAGTAAATAAATCCTCTAGACAAATAATTTTATAATTCTTTGACAAGGTGACCTATGTGAATATCTGGGCTACCTGTTACTGCCATCTGGATATTTAAACGAGTTATATGTTTTCTTGTTTGTTTTAACACACCACTATGTATATTAGTTTCATAACCTCTTAGGTACGTTTCTGAAAAGTGTACAACTTTTCGTTATACAAGTTATAATCAGAGATATCATGATTTCTGATAATATGTATCGAAAAGAGTATGCATTATTCAGATGTCCATTACTGAAATGCTGTCACCTAACTGGCGACCCCTCAATATGTATCGTCAGAATCAACCACGAAACAAGAAACAGAAACTTCTGGAAATTTATATTGTGCCAAAAATATAATATTGAATAAAGCCGCTAATAATAGTGATAATAATAATAACAATTGCTGCAAACCTCATTAGAAATTTTCATTTGACATTTTTACATTCTCACTTTGTACCACATGGTCCCTGATATTAGGGGGGGCATCAGATACTGTTGAAAATAACAAGTCTGTGGTGTTTGTATGAACTAATGGGTCCTTTGTACTTTATGACTGCCTGATTTCAAATTCTTAATACACTACGTTTGTTCGTATTCATCAGGTTCTCCTTGTTTACCTTGCATTATTTCTGGTATTCCTAATCCGCACAATAATCCAAATACTCCTAATCATCATATTGGCGTCGCGATGGAGCCTGTGATGGAAGGGTCGGACATATATCCAGATTTTGATGCTTTTGAGGACTACATGTAAAGGTTGGAAATACGGGTTCTCACAAAGGGAGATGCTGAAGATGCTAATAATGTGGCCCATTTCCTCACATTCATCGAAAAGTAACGCATAGCTCAATAATGACATTGGCATGTCCTAGACAAGCCGATTTCAACATAATATGCAACTCTCAAGCAACTACTACAAGACCATGTAAAGTAAACAAATTTCGAAAGCGGTAAAGGAGATAAATTTCACAGAATGATTCATCAGGACATCCAGAATTTCACTAATTTACCTGTGTTGACCCAGTCCAATGAGTTTTTTCATATAACAATTCATTGTAAAGTTGAAAGCAGGTCACGAATATGAGCATAAGTTTGGTGAATGCTTGTTCTGTGGCACGTTTCATCCATGTAATTCATGTGTACTTCGTAATTCTAAATGCTTTAAATGTGGTATAATTGGACACATATAAGCAGTTCGTATTACTACAACTTTGTAATTCTGATTATATAAGTTGCAATGTTTTTAATGATCATTTACTTTTATCCACAACTTCGAAAAACAGTATGTAGTCATATAGCAGTCCAGAACTAAATTAAACTCGGAGTCATTGTGAGACAAAAGCTTCTAGTCAATCGATTTCGTATCAGATTTCCCATGTTATTGTACCAGATATGGTTTGTCGTGACGGTTCACATATTTATGATGAAACGTTTTACAAAGCTGAGGAACATATGTTGAATGAATCAAATCATGATAAAAAATCTGATGCAGTTTTGATAGATGCTGATTTTTCTGATGGTCTATTACTTTTCAATGACATTCTTAATAAATTTGAGGAGAATAGTTCAGAAGAATCAAATGCCGATGTCATATCAAATATTATTTGTCCTCATAATGCACTTGTTTCTTAAGGGAAAGTTGTTCAGTGCGAAGCACGAGTGCTATGTGGGCTCGAGTTTGATTACAATTGGGATGATTTCATATCAAACGTTGTTTATGAGTGTTATGAAGTAACTCCTAATGAATACCCTAATCAATGTGAGAAATATGTTTTATAGGGAAACCACATTATTGATATAATCAGACAGATATAGAATGAACTCAAGATGACGTACAATAGGTTAAAGAGAATTAGACTCCAATTTAAGCTGTGGTGTTTGCATGAACTAATTAGTCCTTTTGCACTTTATGACTGCCTGATTTCGAATTCTGAATACAGTACGTTTATTCGTGCTCATTTAGTTCTCCTTAAGTAAATTGCATTATTTCTGGTATTTCCAACTCATGTAATAATTCATTTACTCCTAATCATCACAAATCTATCAGAAGAGCGTCTGCCAACAACAAATTCAATGGGCTTAGACTTTCGGTTGACCGCGTCTTAGGATCACAAGCTCCCCATTAGGTGAGAGCGGGTAGTAGTGAGAATTAATCTTCAAAATAAATAAATATGTAAATTTTAGACTTTGATGATGACCTCACTAGTTTTACTGAATACATACTAGCTGAAGTTGCCCGATCGCGCATCCGCACGAGGTCACGTGTGCGTAGGTCGAGCTACATAGCTCTTGCAACCACTAGCCACCTCAGACCAGACACTTCTCGAGATATCAGTAGACTCCTGAATATATCTCCGAGCCCTTTCATTCATGAATTATGATCTGACCAGGTTGGTACAATTCGATTGTAACGGTGTTACATGTAAAGGCATTTTCAAAATCCGAATACCTGTGGCATCTGTAGTATATTATACTCTTAGTTGAACCCAGTTGATGAAGACAGTTAAAGTTAATATCCCGTCTTTAAATTATGACATTACCTCGTGATTCAACACGTTCGCACAGTATAATCCCAAAGATTTCATACATTCTTACAAGAAGACAAATCATGATTGTAATCCGAATAGATGGGTCTTGAGGCAAGCTACGTAACAACTCAGACAATGAGTCTTCTGGTGAATCCACACGCAAAATCCATACATAAATTGTAAAAGCAAGCAATAAAAAAGCGTAAACAGAAGTAAGTCATATAAAACGGATTTAAATATTAAATTGGCAAGGTTAAAAAAAACAAAGTACATATAAATTTATTCATAATCATTTATGATGACTATAAAACTGCTATGCAGATAAAAAAAGGAAATTTGCAATACTTTATATTATATATTTATATCTATCCAAAAGTTAGAATAAACTCACATAGGCGTAGAATAGCTGCTCCAACTCCAAATAGACAGATGAACCTAATTTATAGACACTCTGATTGATTTTGGTGACATCAAAAAATTGAATAATAATCTCTTAGCTCATGTATCGAAGAGATATCTTGGTGTTTATATTGTTTATCTGTACCATTGATGAGATCAAATCCTAACTTCTTTTCAAATAAAGTACCGGTCTTCAAGGTTATGATCTCTTACTGTCATCCTAACGAATCCTTAAGTCATCCCTGGGCTAATAACGGTCTTAACAGATGCTTCGTGAGCACTTTATCTTCCAGCGTCCTTTGCATTTTATTTCTGGTTCCTGGATTCGTTCAGGCATACATCTACCGAAAACATGGTCAACCTATTACTAATAGTTTGAGATCCAGGTCTAAGTTCTTATACTTACACGTATTGTTGTCACTCACCATCCCATTTCTTTATCTCTCCCAAATAATGGTTTTTGCGTTCATGAATGACTTGGAGCATGTGTATGGATATATGACATATTCTGTTATAGTTATGTTTATCGTTTGGCCACTCTCTGCATATATTTTACGCACTGAGTGCTCCTACGTCCTTTTAAACTTTGAAGGGAGGAGTCATGGTCTGCTTCTGTTATGCTTCTGGACATTATCATTCCTACTAGCCTTCCTGCCTTTGGTATCCATTTCTAACAACGACTGGTGGTGGAACTTGTCAAGGTTAGTTTTATCACTCGCGCCTGTTTTTCCCGTTTTGCTAGTCTGTGGCATTGTTTTTCGCGCTTTTTAGATGGAATAAGTGCCCAAACAAAGATTCTGCCAAATGTTTAACACATCCTAGAGCAATCTCCATTTTACAAATATTCTCTGTAATCACTACTTAAATTCAATCAAAGTATTATAACTACTGCAATTATTTTTTCTCCCTATTTGTAGTTCGTTAATCTTAGTGACTTTGAAAGTGCACAATTGGGTGAATGAATTTTGATCCGAAATCTGAGATCCATCATCCTAAATCTGATTGGTTTGTCCATAAATTATAGTGTCACCCAGTGCTGTTGACTTACCGTGATACTTTTAAAAGTAGACTTGGAATAAGCCATTATATTGTTATCCCCAATTAAAGCAGCAGACCGAGTTAATACGGTTGATTTAGTGATTCGATCATATTTTGGCAACTTTTCTTTGGCAAGTACCAGAATTGTTTATGGATGAACTGTGACAGTTGTGTTGATTCTCATCGATTTCTTCAGAGTTGCACCGTCTAAAACTTATTCGCCGACGTTTCACCATGGCAACCATCTAGACTGGGGATCAGTAAACCTAAAGACATCAAGTTTAACGTTCAATGGCATATTATTTAACAGATGTTATCTTTCAGTATTTTCACTATAATAACCCGATTTCCGAGAGATAATTTTTTCCTAACTATTTACACTTATACAATAATATAAAATCTTCATATGCCATTATCTTTGAACTACATTTGAAACAACCAACTTTTGTAATAATTAAGTTTTGGAAGTAATGAGCTTTCATAATGGAGTATGTCAATGGTTTACAAAACAAATCTCCAACTTCATCCGACAGATCGTTTCACCTGGTGTATGTATAGACAATATTTACTTTTGTTGGTTGGAATAAAGTCCTATATAGCGTGGAACTAAAAAAATCAATGTAACAATGCATACTATTTCAGTATTAGATTGTGAGTAAACGTCCGTCAAGGCTGAACTATTTTTGACTTAGGCCATTTCTAAGTGACCAGTATCAATGTAGAGTAGAATAATTGATCGATTTGAACATTCTAAAAACTTGTATTAAGATATCATCAAAGGGTATGTTCGTTAGTAGATTTGTTTTATCTGTTTTAGTGACTAGTGGTTTATAAACCTCTATTTTAAGATGTTTTACTACCTCAAGCTTAAACTTTTTCCCATCTTTAGTGACGCAAATGTGGTCGAGTTCACCTTATGGGTTTTGTACGCTTTTTGCGTGTCATTCGTCTTCATATTGGGTATATGGGCTCCAGGCCTCCCAAGCTACTTTGCAGTCTATGAGTTTCTGCAGTCGAATGGTCAAAACTCGTTGAGTAATGGAAATATTTGGGTTCAACGCATCTGTAGATTCAAAATCGTATCACCGTTTATCTGGCCAAGACGTCACAAGACCATACAGCTTAGAGTATTTTCTTGTTTTTTATTACTAATTGCTGGGCGAATCGTCAATTTATACTCACCAATTTTGTACAAAGATATAGGTGAGTTGCTAAAACAAGCATTTTAGTAATCAGTATTTTCTTTGGCTTATGACAGACCATTATTGACTAACAATATTATATATGAACTGTAGTGACCAATCATATGCGTTAAAATCAAACTCTTAAACTGTAAGATTAAGCACAATGATGTCATGAAAGACAAACTTTGCGTAACCGTGAAGTGAACAAACATTGGTCTGCTTGTTTTTTCCCCTTTTCTTTTCGATGTTAAATCCACCACAATCTGTTTTTTTCATATCTAAAATCATTTTCCATTTTACTGTTTACGAAATCCATTTATTCATTTGTCTTTGCACTTTAGTAAACAGTTTGTCCGAAGTTGACAATTCCACCGGAACATTATCTTTTGAACAGAATCTCATCATGAAACCATCTCCGTATACGATATTCACTGCTGTATCCAGTCATACTGGGTTGATTTATCGTTGGGATTATGTTCTTTTATTTGCTTTATTACGGTTACTTCAAGGGCTGGGTGGTTTAGGTGCTGGTCTTATATCTGCTTTACGTTCTCAATTATGGATAGCAGTTGATCAGTTTTCAACAAGAGAATTAAGTGTAATGCTCTTCAAACATATCCAAAGGTAATTTAATCCAAATATACGTATATTTACAAATTTATGTTTTCATACCATTTTGTACTTGATGACTACTCCTTTCGACTATTAGTACTTGCCTGTGATGGTCTAGTTTCTTGAAGCCAGAATAATGTAATTATTTTTGTAGAAAAAAGCTCTATACCTTTCTAAGCATACTCATACAACTATGCACTTGAGTGTGCTTAACAATCTAACTAACTTGGATAACTAAAATTCGCAAATAAAATCTGTGAGTTTCCTTTCCAGTCCCTAGGAAGTCATTAAAATAGGTTCTCTCTAAAGACTTGACCCTTCTTGACATAGTTCACCGTAGCATATACTAAGTTAGTCTATATTCACCAGTGTTAATTAAAATATTTTGACCCATACCTTTTATCAACTTTCTTCGTGATCAAATCGTATTTAGACTTACCAGTTAACACGAGCTATTTTCTTTGCTAGTAGTCAACACGAAATAGGTTTGGTCTAAGAATACTTTAACCAACAGCATTTACAGTATTTTAATCTTTTGCTACGTCTGAAAGTTGTGTATACCGATTAACAACTTTTTTCAGTAGATTTGTTTTTGTATCTTCAGGAAATACATCTGAATTATCTTATATACACTCTTTTCATCATATTCTCTTATAATTCTACCATTCACACTACTTATATTTTCGAATTTAAGATCATGTAAAAATTTTGGAATAGGATAGAATTTTATTCGTTTACTATTAGCTGTTGTAGGATTTAATGTGCATACAGATGAATTTTGTAAATAAGTCTCTACACTATCGTACACTTAATCTTGGCAGGACAAGTAAACCATACCAATATAGCCAACTTCCGATGTTTCTAAAACATAAATTGATCCAAAAATGTAAATAGTGCAGTCAATTAGAAAAAGATAATAATTACTTGCATATCGAAAAGTTATAGAAACTCGACCAAAGTGGATCACTGTCATCGTTAGTCGTATTATCAAAAGGTGCAATTTTTCAACTAACAGTTAAACAAAGAATAACCAACATGAGTTTTAAGTGGAGGGCGTTTAGCCTAACTAACAATTGGTTAGTTTATACCTACCAATCAGGATTAACAGCTACTTCAAGGGCTCAAACTCATTACAGTAAAGTGATGCGTTTATCTGTTTGAATCCACAGTTTAAATATCTTTGGATTTAAATCATATTTGCTGCGATATTTGATAGGCTTCTCATGTAAGCGAATGGGTAAATTATGTGTTGTGTTTGTGGAAAGTATTACCTGTAGTCTGACTTACCACTTATGTTCTATGGACAAAAAATGATACTCGTTCGGTTTCTATAATCGAATCCGGGAAAAATATTAGCTCGTTTACTGCATTTAACTCTGCTTATAAGATATATACACCTGTAGGTCTTTTCCTATGGGAACAATACATTAAACAGGTATAAATTTTCCATCGAAGGCCCATGACCCAATCGCTGGAAAGTGATTATTTGTATTATTCATTCACTTAACTGTTCGATGCATCAGATGTAAGTGTGCAAAAACCTATTACCTATTTCTAGAATTATTTTACATGTCTGTTCTTTAAAATCACATCGTTGACAGCCAAGTTCAATATTGAAATGCAAAAACAAGGTACGAATGCGAAACGATATTACATTAGTGCCACTTAACTCAGTCAAGACTAATTGTAATGATATAAAGTTGCTCCGTAGTAAAATTCTGTAAATCAATTTAATTGCTCATCTTTCTCAAAGGTGTTGTACTCATTTATTTGTGTCTATTCAAAAGATCTATTAAGTAATTCTACCTTACTTCATCATAATAAATAGCGATCATCAGAAGATATCAAATATTTTATTTGTTATTAGTTCAGTGCTCTGTTAGCTAAATCACTCAAAGTCCAATCAATAGATTCCAATTTCGAACCCTGGCTCACTCTGATTTTCTCAACTGGACATCATCTCTCTTCCTTACATCAAACAATGTAGCTTTAAATCGAGTACATCCATTTTATACATATTAAATGAGTTAATTACCTTTAAGTAAGCTTTATTATTGAATACCTACTGATTGTAACTTCTTCATCTTCGATTTCTTGATACCACTGTTGTTTTTGAGAGCTTTTTCAATTATTTGATTTTATTTACAGAATGTATTGCTTTACGAGAAACCGCTTATGGTAATGATAAAATTTCTTATATGTCATCAAAGAAAGCCTAAATCCGGTCTAATTACCATGATCATTGAAATTTTTTCCACTCATTTCAATCCAAATTGCTTATTCATCCCCAACGTACACATCGTTGGAACTGCTAAATGAATGTCCTCATCAGTTGTAATATTTTCATAAAATATGAGCGGCAAATCTAAACTAATTTAATGAACATATTTATTTCGTGGGTTTCTACTCAGCCTTTTACAGCCGACTATCAATTACAAAACTTATATATCATATTTGAAAAAGATAACTTAGATCATCGATATAGATTTTTAGAAATAGAATAATAATGTCATAAAATAACCAATACCAACTGCAAAGACAATTGACTAATTGGGTAAAATAAGCATATCACAGATAAGAAGCAGACTAATAACAGAAATTATAACTTAATGCATAAAATATAATGTGACGCAAATTATTAATAAAGAATGGGATTACTAGGGTAATTTAAAAATGACCTTAGCATCATTTTCATGAATAAAACTAATGAAAAACTTCAATAACGATAGTTTAACAACAACCAAACAATCTTTCGATTACTGATCACATCATGTTCACTAGTAAACGAATAACAGATGATTGTACTGTTGAAAATATGTTAACTTTGTTCTTGCGATTTCTGTAGGAAATTCTCGGCTATTGTTAACGTGATCTAGAGGTTAAGCGTCCACTCGCGAGACCGAAGGTCCCGGGTTCGATTCCCGCGTCTAGTCGTGGATGCGCATTACTGAAGTGTCCTGCGCTAGCTCGAAACGGCCATCCATGTTTTCATTGGTGGTCTAACGTTGATCCGTTCATAATTCCAGCATAAATATCCTTTGACACACATAAAAAGTGATAGAAATAATCATACAAAGACATTGTTTCACTTTCAATTCTTAGTCTTCTGTTTAAACCTACAATCAATCAACTGTACAAAGAACTCTTACAACTTTACTAAATTTGTTAATTGTTTACTGATCTAACTATATGTTATCTGTAACTGTGAGCAAGACGTACCTATAATTAAATACTAATAATTTTAAATTATGAGCGGTTAAAAATAAAAATCACTGAAATAAGTAAATTCATTTCATTTTACTATAATATTTGTTCTGAATGTATACTAAACTCTATAAAAAGGAAAGGATTGTCATACCTATCTTGTGTTATATTTAAATGGTAGTCTAGCCTTCAATAAAAAATTATCCAGAATTATTTTTAAATACGTTATTTATTGGCTAATAATCTTTTATTCAAACACAAAGGTTATATAACATCTCATTTTACTTTGTTTAGACTTTCTTTAAAATGGCATTTATCCAGAAAAACTGGTGAAGTGCTAAGAGTAATGGATCGTGGAACAGCTAGCATTTCAAATATTCTATCATATCTTGTATTTAATATCATACCAACTGTATTGGATATAATCATTGGTGTAGTATATTTTGTCACAGCTTTCAATATTTGGTATGGATTGTTAGTTTTTGTGACTATGCTTATTTACCTTAGTAAGTTATTTATTTTCATTTATATATATATATAACTTAGTGAGCTACAATATAGTGTTAACTTATTCCCAGTGTACAATTGATGGTAGAGAAAATTCTATCATGACGTTATACATCAACAGAGTACTATCGCGGAGATCTTAAAAGGCCTGGTTCATACACTCACTTTTGATAGTGAACCCATAAATATTGTCAAAATATTTATTCACCTAAGCGGTTTTATAAACTTGAATAATGGTGCGAAAACGACATGGGTTTGTCTATAATCCAAACCAATAAGATATTAGATGTGTATGATATCCCTGACATTTCAATCACTGTTTCAAAGTACGGATAATCACTGGTGAACCGAAAACAAAAAAATCGTCGATGCAGAATATCTGGGGTTAAGAAACGATTTGATAACGATTTATACTGACTTCAGATGACTTCTAGGGACGGCCAGAAAAATAGAGATAAAGATAGAGCAAGTATCACTGTTATAAATGAAAATAATTTTATACAATTTAAGGTAAGGTAATGTAAGTTTCTAATGACTTTAACACAGGAATATGTATTACAGAGATCATACACTTTTTTTTCAGAATAACATCAGCTGTTGTTAAAGTTTATACAATATGAATCTTTTCTGAAACAACAATAAAAGTATTTTACTCTCCTCACCCCTTAGTCATTCTCTGTACAACTAATACAATACCACTTTGATATTCATCTAAGGCTGATACATATGTGCTATGTTCTACGTTGCATATAAGTGACTGAATATTTCCAAATTTTACTTCATTCTTTTCTAAGTTGTTTTGTAGGGAACAATTTCTTTTGTCTTCATTCCAATTAAAATTCCCATAATCACACATTAATTGCATGATGCTATGTTAAAATTAGATGTTTGTAATCCGTTTGACTAATATTATTTCTTATTTTTGGCTCATAATTATAATATAGTTTCCACAGTGCTAATTACTGAATGGAGAGCGAAATTTCGACGTGAAATGAATAATTTAGACAATCAAAAAAACACTAAAGCTGTTGATTCAGTGTTGAACTTTGAAACTGTAAGTCATGATAAGCGTTCTTCACATTATGATGTATTTGAACGAAATTACGTATTATTTTGTAATATAATCTTTTTTGTCCCACACCTGATCATTTTAAATAAGTTATTTAATACTACTCGATCGAAATTTACTTATTTCATTGTCAATGAGAAGTATAATACTAGCTGATGCACAATTAAACAAAGTGTGCCAATATCGTCAATGAACTATATTGGGAAAACCCAGAAAATTCCTCAAAAAAGCCAAAAAGGGCTCTAAAATCGCTGAGAAACATCTTATCTAATCAGCATTCAATAGAAGTTTTACCAGAAACATCTAGAAGGTGAAAAGTCACGTGCTGCGTTTCTGATTGGATGATTATACTGCTACTATGTTCAGTAGCATTCCAGACTTTTCCAGAAGCCCAAGGCTATCTAAAATGCTATAAATACCTTAGATTTTCTGTACATAAACGAACCTTGGAGTAAGACGTTTTTTCCATATTTTTTGCCTTTTCTCTCGTGTTTAAGTTGTCGTGTAGATCAAGCCTCGGGGTTACTAGAAGAGCTTAGGAAACGAATCTAGCCTTCAATTAGAAGATTTATGAAACTTAACAAAAACCTTCGGTTTATACATGACCAAAACACAACTAGTTCAAGTTTTTGAATGATATTATAAATATTTAAACCATAATTTTAATAAATATCTTGGAAAATCTCAAATTACAAACTTATCTGAGTCACCAATCAGAAGGTTTAAAGTTAATCTTACAGTATGTTTATGGTATAAATGTTGTTGGTGTTTCATAGTTCATACTATGACTTGATCAGTAAAAACAATCAGCTTTTACTCATTATCAAAATTTACAGTTAATGTATTGATTGTTTACCAAGTATATCATACTCAGCATTTTCAATCATTCCTCCATTCATTAAGGAGATGAGTATTGCACTTTAAAGTGTAATTTTTACTAAAAATTTCATTTAAGGCAATCGGAATTTCTCACAACTGTCTATCATAAACATTCCAGTGTAGCGCAATCAGACACATGAGATTAAAAAAATACAAACATTATAGAAGTTAAAGTTTGAAATGAAATCCTTCATAAAAATTACAGGTATATGCAACGCTTAATGACTAGTTAAATGAAATATTGAAAGCTTTTCATGATAGTCTCGGCCAAATTTACATATCATATACGGGTGTATTTTAATCACTGCTCTCTATACTACCGTTAAAAATGATATCTATTATTTGTCTACTTTTAATTCTACTCTCTACCTATTTATCACTTAAATTACTCACATCTAAACTTATACATGCTAACCTAGTAAGACACAAATTGTTACCGTGTTCTATTTGACAATGTTCATTTTTATTATAAGTAACAAACATTATTTTGGCTTTCATCATTTATTTGTTTTTTTATTTGTTGGTGAACTAACCAGTTTACTAACAAACATGTTACAATATGTTCATAGATAAACATTAAAAATCGAGTCTTACCTGATTGATTTCATTCACCAATTCAGTTTCCACCTACATCACATTGGGATTTTGTTTAACTACAATGATTTTCAAAAAACAAACACTATCTGAACAAAGCATCATGGTATTGTAAATCGAAAAGATTTTATTAATTGACTCTTGTAATAGGTAACCTTAATTCAATGTCAACTATTATTCTCTCTTTAAATTAAACATTTAATCATAATTGACCGTAGTTGTTTAAAATTATTCATTCATCGGATTTGACCTATTTTAAAACTGCTGAAGTGAACTTAGACTTGGTGAAAATAACCAATTTATTATATAATTCGAGCTTACAGTGCTTTCGTAAAATATGAATACAATATAATAAATACCTAATTTGCACATATTTCATCAGTTGTCCTTTGCATACTTCATGATTCTCTCAATTCTGTTGTTATTACAATCACTTTCTTCTTCCCTTTCTGTTCTCTTCAATTGAATCTTCTGAATCTCCTGCTGACATGCATTCCACTTTCAACTGATGCTACATACTACTTATATCTGTCAACACAAGTAGCATACACCACACTAATATCAATTTTTACCTTAATGAACTAACTATCAACACGTAGTTGATGTCAGAATTTAATCGATTAGATTTAATAATATTCAATCAGATGTTTTCTATTTTTTATTAATCATATTTTACAGGTTAAATATTATAACGCTGAACAATTTGAAACGGATCGTTATAATCAAGCATTTTTAGATTATCAAAAAGCTGATTGGTGGAATGCATTTACTTTAAATCTACTTAATACAGTACAAAATATAGTAATTAGTATTGGATTTATGTTTGGTGTATTGTTATGTGCTCGAGATGTTGTTAATGGAGTATTGACAGTTGGACATTTTGTTTTATTTTGTACATATATTATTCAACTTTATTCACCATTAAGTATTTTTGGAACATATTACAGGTTAGAAAGAAATTTTAATGAAATTGATAAAAATCAGCTCAATATTTTATTGTTTTCGATTAGTATGGAATACTGTCGTTTGTTTTGAACTTATTAGTTAAATTTGTCTATTGTATCGTTCATTTACTTAATGAGATCATAAGCCAGAGAACGAAACTCCTCTAAAAAGGATGACGAAGTATTGTTTAGGTAGATAATTTGTCGAACTTTGCTTCAAGGTGACCAGAGGTAGTTATTTTTTAGTTCAACTGCATTCGATTGTAGTTGTGATATCACATGAATTAACTTAAGTTGGAAAGGAGAATATTGTGGTCATGATTCAGTGCTCTAAAATTATGATGTCCGCTGTGAAACCAAACGTTTTTTTCGATTCAATTTGAGTCTAGAGTCATGTATGAGCTTTCCCGACAAGTCCTAAACTCTAATTAAACGATTGTCCAATATGCTTTCAATAATTTTTTAACTGCACATCTTTTTGCTACGATTAATGACATTACCAAGGAACTTATAAATCTCACTGAATGAAGCAGAACATGAGTCTATCATCTACAAATTGAAAACAAAATACTTGGAACAATGAACCGAAACTGTATGCATAATGGTTTACATTTTCAAAAATTAAACCTAATCATAGTTTAAACTTGAATTTTTCATTAGGTATTGAAAATACCATTAAATAACGTAAATTCTTTTCATGTTCTTTTCCATCCTCTGTATTGTATACTATTCTATAGTATATAAAATAATATAATATTTAATTACTAAACTTTCAATATTGAGTTTAAATATTTTTATTGTTCAATAACACACTTTCAAAGAATACATGGCATTGATGTTAAGGTCAGTATTAATACTGATGATGGATTGTTTTCATGAACTCTCAAATAAATTTGAATTAATTTTATGCGATTTACATTTTCCTTGATATAATACTTACTGGATATGAATTTTGGTTGTTTTTTTAAACTAGTAATTCATACTGAATCTATTGAATAAACACCTAAATGGATATCATTAATAAATTAATCGACAAAATCGAAAATGTCTTGATTTTACAACCACACATGTCTAATATTTTCGTCACGTCAGGGTATAGACAATGATTCTAGTCTTAAAGTTCTCACATCCCTCAATGAAACATTTGATCCACTTAATTAATTTTCTTCGACATTTTGTAATTATCAGCAACTTTCAAAAGATTTCCTAAATTTCATCAAAAACTACCTGTTTCATCTATATATTTATTAAACAAACCATATAAATACTTACAACTATATTTCGAAAGTAAAAATGTCACACATTTTCATGATGTTTGAAGTAGATATCAACTTTGAATCATTCATCATTTTACTATACATTAAGCAAGATTATATCTTTCTGTGAATAAAATAAATACGTCTGATTTAGCGTAGACGTGTTGCTGTTATTAATGCTAAACAGCCATCTAAGTGTAGTAAGTTTGAACATTCACATTAAAAACATGCTAAGAGATTTGTGTTATCGAATTTTTCGTTTCAACCACAATGGAATAATGTAAAACTGTTAAACTTGTATTCCATACATTTACCTTTAAGTTTCACAAAACAGGCACATCGTATCGAAATGGTTTGTAATCAAACTAAGAAATATTTCGACTTCTGATAATTACCATCAAATAAAGTCTCTCCTATTCTTTACATGATTTGTAAACTTACTTTTGTTAAATAGAGTAATATTTACTCAGTAAGTGGACTGATCTGTTTACACTAAACACATTTTCATCACGATGTTGATTGTGTTTTCTGATTTATATGTAGGCTTTTTATGTTTCTAAATGAGAACTATGTATTGTTTCCGTTTTCTCTTTCATTTCATCGTTTTCTTTAATCAGTATAACAAGTTAAAATGGTATTTTTGACTTATTAGATGATAGTCAGTCATTGTGGTACTTTTCTGATACAGTAACAATTGAAAATTCAATACAATTCAGACAAAGTTCGTGGATTCATGCACTGAGCCACAGCTTTCGTCTGTCGTTTGAGGGCCAAATATGCTAGTCAGTTTCCAAACCTTTGAAATATAGGGTAGAATATTGATCTATAATACGATGGTTGAAAGTTGAATGATAGCACCAACGAGTAGAAACTTTACACCTTAGAGCTCTATGACCATTAAATCTGTTATTGTTTGAATCCTTTATTCGTTTAAACATGAAGAACTCTGATAATTCGTTTGCATGGATTGTTTTTCCTAATTATAACACAGTTGCTGTTTTTCACTAAAATTTCCCATCCGTTTTAAGAAGTTATGACGTCTGTGGAAATGCCACCAGTCCAACTTTGAAAGCGTCTACTATATTGTTTCTTAGTGTGGATTCAGACATTCAAGATCATTTATTTATTTAGTTCACAGCTTCATTCTAAAGAAAAACTGTTTCTACTTAAAATGTTATGAAAATAGATATATCTTGCTGAATTCCACTTGAGTAGAAATAACCTTGAACAAGTTATCCATGTATACTTTCAATTTCCTGTTCTTTTTACTTCGATAGACAGTATCTCGTTGTTTCTTACCATTATCGTCATTATCATTATTATCTATTTTTTTAACCAGGCTACTACAAACAAGCTTTATTGATATGGAAAATATGTTTGATTTATTAGAACAAGAATTAGATGTTGCCGATGCACCGAATGCTCAAGCATTAATTGTCAAAGAAGGTGCTGTTGAGTTCAATAATGTCTGCTTCTTTTACAACCCAGAGTAAGTTTATTTTCTATCAAAAAATTATGTGATATAACTTCTCTTTCCAATAGTATGACTAACCTAAATTCCTTCCGAAATAAACATCCATAAATGAATGTAAAGGGTTTGTGAAGATTAATGTTTCACTATTGGTATTAGGAACTGATCTTGGTTACACACGCAGTGAGGACCGGAAAGCACTGGTTGGTCGTGACCAGCGAAGTTGCCCACTATTCGCTTTGGAATAGGATAGCGCAATACCTCTAATTGATTGAGGTTATAAATATGATGAACCATTGGATACTAGCTCAGTGTTTTGAAGGTTAAGCGCTCACCGTGGGACCTACAGATTCTAGATTTGATTCCTCGTAGACATGCGCCGCTAAGTGTTCCCACACTAAGACGATATATTTGTCAAATTGTTCCTGGCTTTCAGTGGTTATCTAAGGTCCTTTGTTTAATCAATCAGTTACAAATAATAAAAATCTGGGATGAATTGGTGTCGTACAAAATCATCATATTCTTATGTCATCACGTTAAAGAGCGATTACCAAGACCTGAATCAAAAATTGTAAAATAATTATCAACGACAGTAAAAAATTGAACATATGGAATATAACTGAAAGGAATGAATAAAATCCGCTACTAAAAATTACCAAATAATGTTAAATTCAAGGTTCAAAATAAAATGGAGAGTGTATGCATCCGTCTCACTGAATCTATTTTTAAAGCTTATCGTCTAAATTTTCTAATTATAGGGTATAATTATTTTACGGATGGTAACTTTAAGGTCTAGCTTTCTGATTGATATCATGTCGTAGTTTGATCATCTGTATGGGTCTTTCAACTCAATTCTATCCCAGTCAGCTTGATATATTGAGAAGAAATTGACTAAGCACGTTTAATGATTTTTAAGTCACATTGGTCGATAAAAGTACATAGTCTCATCAGTTGGCTTGGCTGCTCTATTTAGTACTGTATGTCTTATCTCAGAACTAATCGCTGGCTCTGTCATACATCTTACTCTGGAAACATCTAAGGTCAGATACTTGATTAGTTGTAACTGTTGTTGTAGTATACATTTTTATATAATTTCTTGAGTTATCAACATCAACCTTTTACAATATGACGTTTTCATGCTTCTTACTTTGAACTGTTAATCTACTTCAACCTTTCTAAACAATTTTTAAAGAGTAAATAAAATGACCTAAATTTATACTTTCCATTAGATATAGAGCATTAATCTTGATAGACATTTGGTTTTTTTAACTCAATATGATCGTAATTATTACGTATGTGACGTTTGACTTAGTAATTCTTACATCTAACCGGTATTTTCAAGCGTTATTTACTCATAAAAGAACTGAGCTGGAGTTTCACGACTAAGTACAACACCTCACTTTCTAATCGACAATTATATATATATATATATATATATATATATATATATATATATATATATATATATATATGTTCCTTGAAAAGCTGCCGTCAAATGTATTGGTAATGTGTACAGTGCATTGTAAGTCTCTCATGCATGAAGTTCGTTTATCTTATGGCATTCTTGTGAACGAGAAGCTACGTGGAGACAATCAATTGTATTTTGATACGGAATTACAGAATTCTTTCGTCAAATGTGAAAAACCTGCATTCAATACTTCATTTGATAATCCTCCAGCAATTGCATCAAACCTCATCGTTCCTCCGTTGCCATGACAATTACTTTTTGTCCTCTTCGATCCGATCATCCCAACCTCCTACCAGGTATTCCGCTTCTGATTGGTTTTATCTACTATTTATGTCAACATCAGTAGCATACACCACACCATAACCCAAATAGTTTGTACAATTGATAAATTATTATAATCGTACTTATTAAATTTACTAATCTTAAAATGGATAAGTACTAAAATAAATTACCAATTAACTAGTATTGGTCAAGTAACTAATCAATTTTCTTTTTGGATTACAAAACAATACCTAATTGTTCACAGTTATTAGATAAACAGTGAATAAGTACATCTTTCTAAATAGTTATCTGTCTGTATTTAATGCATAATGTTTTCTTAATTTATGTATGTACATTGTAGTTTGTTTTTTTTAGACAATCTTTATACTATAATTCAGCCATCTTGCCATAATTATGATTATCATTAATAATAATATCGTTGTAATAAATGTAAAAATGTTTATTTTATTGACTAATTTTTACTCACTAACTAGTAATTCTTTCCATGTTCATGGAGCACTTTTGGTGCTGATCGCGTTGCAATATGGTCATCAATCGAAATGACTATACATTCCAGCGACCATCTTTGAATGTTAGGTAGTTCATGACAATTGTAAGGAAGTTCTTCACCGAGGCTTCATGCTAATTAGTATTAATCGCTAAGGTCAATTTGCTATCTTAAGAGAAATGATGCTTTTTTTTTTTACCTCGAATCACTTATCATCGAAATGTACCAGGATTCGACTTACGTACTATTAGATAAAAGTGTTATGATGTGCAGTCGTCCGAGTTAGCTACTGAAATTTTCGCTTCCTCTACGCATACCCAAACCACCTACTTGAGTAAGGAAATCAAGCGAGAATGGAAAGTTGTTATTGGTTAGTAGATTCGAAAATACATGCACAACTTATGGGAATTTATTTGTTTCCTCCAATCAAAGCAAGAGACAATCTAAACAAATATGGAGACAGTGAGGAATCAAAGTCCATCAATAACCAACCAAGATGAACATTGACAGGACAAGATTTTAGTCATATGCGAAAAACTTCGAAACAAATTAAATTTTATAATGGCTAGTACTAATATTGGGCTGCCTAAAGTAAATTAAATCGAGCGGAATTCAAACCTAGGCTTTATTACTTGAAAGTAAGATTGACACAGCCACTAAGACAGACTGTCGTAAGCAACGTAGAACCTGGGATATATGTGCATCAGTTCAAGTTTCCATACCATATGAGCGCAGTGCGGTGAGATTATTCAACAAAATTCGAGAGCAGTAGTGGTATCAGTTGTAATAGACAAGATTAGAGATAAATAGTATGTTTCAAGAAGAAATGAAAAATTATTCCAAGACTGAAGATCTAAGTGAAGACAGAGTAGATATGTCTGCATCACTACAGCCCATTCTGAATCTTGTCACCCAACGTCTGCAACTACCAGTTGCGATAGTCAATCAAATCCCAACCAAGTAGTATGCATCTGCTGGACAGTATACTCATCCGATTGGCAGATGGACATGTCACCTGATCTATAGGTGATGGAAGTTATCAGAATCCAAGTGAACCTTCTAGACCCGTATCGATGTTTCTTCCGATGCAAACCCACGAGGACTGATGAGACTCCCAAGATGATTGAAGTGGTCTATGTGCCCAACTACTTCATTGGATATTGTTACTGCGGACCAGTTCCCAAACAATATTTTTGATCTAGAGAGAAAGAGAGGGGAATGGATCTAAAACATTGTTACATTATTGACCAAGGCAATCAAAGACTGCATTTGTTTCATCTACAGCGGCAACAAAGTACTCAGTCATAAGTTTGATTGCTTTGTATTCATTCTAGAACTTGCACATGAGAAGTTTGATGGACAATACACCAACGTTGTGTGATAGTAACTACAATCCTTAATTGTATAGTGCTTCACAATTTTCTGTACGTTATCTGATTACATACCCCCGTAAGGATTCATAAAGATTATGAATTATTTCGAGGTTTATTCACAACATGTGTTTACCAATTCACTGATGACAATCAAGGTATGCTGAGAGCTTTTTTACCAATTCCGTGTTAGTCACTTCACTGTTAAAGTAAAGGGAAGCCCAGCTAGATGTTTACTCATAATTTAGAACATGCTAGTGGTCACAGAAATTTACTTTCCTGATTTGGAATATTAAACTTAATTCAACTCTACTGTCAATCAAGAAGAATCTTCTTACATCTCAATTTTATACATGGTTAACTGCCTTCTTATTTCATTCAGGCGTCCAATTTTAAAAAATGTATCATTCAAAATACCGAAGGGTCACACTGTTGCCTTGGTAAGTGATAATTTAATGTCTGTTTAACTAACAAATTTAACAGTTTTATTATTCTATAGTCAACATTTCGACAATATTTCACCCGCTTTGAGTTTTTAATTTTCATTATCGATTAAACTAACCTTACCAGGTGCTTATGCATCTCGGTTTGAAAACACAGCAATTTGTTCCCTATTCATAATCAACATCTTTATTTCTACTAGATTCACATTCTCATGGTAGACTAAGAAGGTCTGTTTCGCCAAAGCCCTTTAGCTCAAAAAGTACTAGTGTCAAAGTTGAGATTTTTTGAAAAACGAACAAGTGAAATAATGATTTATTTTGTATTTAAGATACTAAAATTAAAAGGAAAAGAAGACTTCGATGGCCTAACACTAAATATCTTTAGGTGTGGTGGTACAGTATTATTATTTTGACTAACTACTTCATCTTTGATTTTTCTTGTCAATAGTGACAATTTATTGTTCAGTAATCGTTTTCATTAGTTTAGATTTTAGTATCATAGATGTATAATCATCTCGAAAATTTTAAATTGAAGATCATGAAGGTTCTAATTTAGAATGTGGGTATATTAACTGAATCATGGTTTCCTACCATAGCTCAGTACCTAGACAATCATCAGCTCTCATCACCAATTGAATTACTTCACTATAGCTCAATAGTGTGTTAAACTGTAATAAATCCGTAGCGATTACAGTACACTCTCAGTCTAGTCTCAGATCTTCGGTCATGTTAAAATTTGAAATGAGTTAGCATTCAAGGTGAGTACATAAAATAATGTATCTTATAGTTGATCACTGTATTTTAATTTAACTTGTAAAGATATTGTACGATAGTCAACATCTCCCTCTAAGTTCTCCAAAATCGTCCTTTTGCTTAAAGTTTGTTTCTTCGACTCATAAACATAGTACAGTCGAAAAGTAGGGAGTATTAACACTTTTATTTGTGTCACCAGTTTTTTTGGCTCAGTTATACAAAAGACTTTATCTATAATCAGCTTACACCAGTTGTTTATTCTAGATTTCCAACAGAATTCAAAAATAGTGCTTTGTGTTACCTCCGTAGCATGAAATATAGCTTTATAGGTGTTTTGGACGCATTTTTGACCGAATGGTGGGAAAAATGTTGCTTGATATTTGTAAATCCTCCTTTGTAAGTCATAATGTAAACTAACGTATATTGATTTGATATGTCTATCCTTCAGGGCACAATGCCATATCACAAGCAAACCACCCTTGCACCTATTCTTATCAAACCTGCTAACAGCAATGATAATGATCTCTTTGCATACTCTTGTGAAGTCTAGTGTAGATCATATATATATCACCGAATCTGTTGTGAGATGACTCAGCTAGTTGAATATAATTCCTCATTATTCCATGAAACGTAGTTTCTTTTATCCCAGAACTTTTAAAAGATGTCACCAGCACTATGTAAATAATATTGATAAAACGCAGAGTCATAAAATACCCTCAGCCTGAAATGGTCATGTTAAACAAGTGCATAAAGTATTAGCTTCATGATATTTATCATGAATACAATGCTTTCCCATGTTTGTACATCGTTTATTTTGGTTGTTATTATTAACTAATATATAATGTCAGCTGTGAATATAGTATTAGTAGGATATTTTGAAGGTATCCCAATGAACTGAAATCTGGTAATGAACGAATTAACAAAATCATGAACCGATCAGTGCTAGATCATTATTGAAAACCTGGGAGCACTGGACGACCGTTTCGTTCCTAGTATGGGACTCGTCAGTGCGCATCCCCGATTTCGCACGTGGAACTCAAACCAAGGTCCCATACTAGAATGTAACAGCCGTCCAGTGCTTCCAGGTTTCCAATGATGATCTAAGATTGATCGTATCATGATTTCAATGAAACTCAATAATCTCCACGACCCTTTACTGAGGATAAATCAACGTTGAGACTGGAAAAAAATGTTTCAAAGTTACTCTTAAAGTTCATGACTGAACTAGTGGAAAGACCATAATGAATGGACCGATATTAAAATAAAATTGGCTGATAAGATTAGTTAAATGTTTGATGTATATTAAAAGTTCGACATACAAGTGGTTTTTGCTCCCGTACATCGACAAATGTTATCAGATAAATAAAAATAGATTAATAAGTTAAGACTACTTGTAAGTAGTGTTAGTCTTAACGTTAAATCAACATTACAAACTAACTAAATCTCTTTCACATTATAAACGAATCCCTATAATCATTTGTTAATCTTATTTTTTTTAAGTGGGCATTTATTTTTCTCCATAAAATTGGTCATTTGTAAAGCGACATATATTCATAGATTTTTATTTTCTTATTCATAGGTACAGTCAACCACAACAGTAAAAAAAATTAATCACTTTGCATTGATTGAAATAAGTCTCCAAAACTAAGAAAAATTTAACGACAATTATGGTGATATTTCATTTGGTTTGAGTTTGTATGACAAAACAAATCATTAAGATTCCTGTTACATATTTAATTAGTCTACATAATATGATATGATTATGATACTCTCTTGAAATGTACGTGATTGTGACATTGAATGATTGGAAGGGGATTGATAGGAATACTGCTAACTATATTTTTTAGTGGTTAGCACATTGAAACAACAGTCATCTGCGGTCTCTAGTTGCTTTTCCACTCAGTAACATAGTCAGAAATATTACCACTGTTCTATTCAAAACGCGATTGCTTCTAACCATTCAATGTCAGGTATTACGTCCTTATATTCAGCCTGATAATCCTTATGGACTCAGTAAAAGAAAGTTATCCTGACAGCACTAATGAACTTACTTTGATGCTTCAAAAGAAAATTTACTGGAATTTCCATATTATGGAAATATGCGCATAATTCATAGTCTGAACTATTTCGCTTAAATTTCGGGCATAATTAAACTTTACTCAGTTCAGTCATTAATTTAATTTCATACACAGTATGCCTCTTGACTTTCTGTTGTTTTTTGTTTATTTTCCGAAGGTTGGTGAATCAGGAAGTGGTAAATCAACAATTGTTCGACTTTTGTTTCGATTCTATGATGCCACTGAAGGAGAGATTTTAATTGATGGACAAAATATTAAATCAGTTACTCAAGCATCATTACGTCAGTCACTTGGGGTTGTGCCACAAGTAAATATGTTTATATATGTTTTATTCGGTTTTTATCACTTTTCTTTATTCTAAATAATTTTATCCTTATAGATATTTTTGTTGTTTGAAAAATTACCAAGTGTAAAGTTAAATTAAACAGGTTTGAACTGTAGAAAACCATAGGTTTTTGGAGATTACATAAACAACTCATCATTAAATGTGAATATGCACGAATTTAAGTATCCATTACTTCAGATTTATCATGTACAATAAAACGTTTACTAAATATTTCTGTTACTACAAAAAATGCAATTCATAAATAAAACTAAATCCCCATTACAATATAACAGTATCAATGTACACCGCAGTATTTACAGCATGGAAGCTATTCTACTCCTAACTATTCACCTTGGTTACTACCTTGTCATTGAGAAAGTCGTGATACTAGTGAGAAGCTATAGCCTTTAGCTTAGCAATATTCAAACCAATGAAAAATATTTGAGATAATTTGGTAATAGGGATATGATAAGTTGGTATTTAGTCAGAATTAATCCAAAAAAGTAAGTTTCAGGTTCGAATTCAACTCCACCCACTTCAGTTTAAACAGCCGAACAGCATTCTTTGACGTCACACAAACATTATGTAATTCACTGCTAAACACATTAACTTGTACTTGGCAAATGAGTTAAATTATTAAGTTTGATCAGGTTGAAAATTGTACTTTTACGTCTCCAGCCTCCCCAGAAAGCTTTTGTGCTAGGTATTTATTTTCATTCACTAATTTCAACTATTTGAACTTAGAAATTGATCGATGGTATCAATGATTTCACTTACCATACATTCATTAGTACACGCTCATGTACGTAGTTACAGAAACGTCTCAACCATTTGAAAAGACACGTGAAAAACGTACATTATTGTTATTGGTTTTCATTTCATTGGCACAGAAGAAATTCTATAACTTCCGATACTAAGTAAGTGTAAATTTAATTGGCATATGTACCTTTTAGCACTTATGTAATCAGGATTTATTCTGAACCTTTTGTCTTATATATCTCACTGACTGGAATATTTCTCATCAGACTGATCCTGCTCTTATTTTATTGCATCCCATGATTACCAAGTCCTTTGATTCTAACATAAACGTTTTAAATTTTTCGAAGATACACTTAAGAAAATGAATACACTGCTTGTGTGTTTGAACTAATCTCCAAGGTATTACAAGAAATTGTGTTTTATAGGTAATACATTTATTAAAGAATATGTGGGTTTCATCTTCTAGTTGTAGTGTGCCTTTTAACAGCAACAAGCGTCGTTCTTTACTTTTCATTGACGAAAGTTCACTTGCAGTTCTGAGTCCACACAGTTTGTTTGCATTTAAGATAGAAATACTACTGAGTGCCTAGAGATAATTTTTCTTTTTTACTAGAGGATAACAAAATATGAATAAGTATTTCAATAAGTGTAAAACTGATTATGTCAACACCATATGATGATTACAATATCAGTAACATTAAAAGAATCACAAATAACATTGATAATAACTTAATCATAGACTAGTAATCGAAACTTTTAAATACTCACAAATGAAATCACTTAGGAGCTTCATGGAAATCATTTTTATCTTCTGTGTCGAAATTCTTAGCCACTAAACAAATTTTGCAACATGATTTATCTTTCAATGATAGTAATTAATTAGTCCGGGTCAGTGTACAGTTTTCACAAAAATATCTTAAAACCCTCATTTACCATAAGCTCTGACTTAAAAACTGTCAGCTTTAATAGAATAACACAATTTGCTCGATGACAAATAAAACGAATTCTCTCTCAAATGAAGTGATTGAAATCAGTATGTCTTTGTAATTGTGATAACAGTCAATGAAGTTGTCACAGTGATGGAATTAATAGAAAATTACTTACTCAGTTAACTAACCAACTAATTAGTTTATAGAGGTAGCAGTTAGTACTTCTAGTATTATTATTATTAGCTTTATTCAGTATTATATTTTTGATACAATATAGGATTCTCCGCACAAAGTATTTCAACAAGTTTCAGTTTCTTACTTCTTGGTCGATCCTGACGTTAAATACTGAGTGATCTTCAGTTAGAAGTTAGCAGTCCAGTCAATCGACATCTATATAATGTACATTCTTTTCGGTACATATTGCCAGCAACCACAATATCTCTGATTGGGCCTTTTGTAACTTGTACTACGAAAAGTTGTAGTTTTCAGAAACGCACTTGAATAGGTTATGCGATTAATAGACATAATGATGTATTAAAACAAACAAAAGTAGATAACTTGTTAAAATATTTAGATGGCAGGAACAGGTAGCCCAGATGTTCAAGCTATAATAGTAGTAGTGTGATGTGTGATACTGATGTGGACAGATATAAGTAGTATGTGTCACCAATCGAAAGTGGAATGCCTGGTGGCAAAAGGTTGAAAAATCGAAGAGAAGAGAACGAGAACAGAGAGTGATTGGTGTGGGAACGGAGGAACAATCAAATCTGAGATAATTGATGAACATTTTGTAAATGAATTATTTACTGTATGATTCTCAGATTTTCCTAAGACACTGTGTGTTTTAATACATTTGGTTGTCCCCACTTGTGTTCTCATTCACGACAGTAGTAATGCTGAATAGATTAATGTTACTACTATGTTCATCACAAACAGTTGAAATCATATGTTCAAGTCCACTTCTCACTATGTAAAATACCAATTAAAATTTTTTTTAAATTTTTGATTAAATAAGCAACACTTTTATTAACCAGATAGATGGTAAGTGTAGAATAACTGTTAGATAACTTATCAATGTAATGAACAAATACACTGAAAAGATTGCATACACACTAATGAATATGTATACATAGTACTTAAACAATTAATCAACTATTAAATTTACTCTTGTGATGTGATTTATAGCTTAATTACTAGGTTACTTCTAAATTTGTAAGTTTATGTCATTATTGTTTTACAGGTGGATCTCTTTTTATAGTTTATATTAATTAATACTTTTTGAGTTATTGATAAATGAAATTGTCGGCTTTGTCTTCAAAATAGAGTTTCTGTGTATTTTATTTCATTGTCATCTACTCTTCGCTATTAAAAACTTATGGTGTTCCACTTTAACAAAATATAAATACACTCACTAACTCAGTATTGATACTACATATTATGGATAATTTTAGGTCTTGATCAGCCAGTCAAACGCAATGTAGAACCTGGGAGATACGTAGATCAATCCAATTTCCCATACCCAATTAGCACAGCGAAATTGAATTATCAAAGAAACTCCGAGAGAAGTAGAGATAATAAAACTTAGGATCTAAGAGAAGACAAAGAGCGAACGCACGTGCACCGTTACAGACGATTTAGAGCCGTCGTTCAAGGTCTCTAACTATTGGCTACGACAATCACACAGACCTCAACTGTCTGGTCTACACTTGTTAACATGGTTTAAACCAGCTGTGAATAACTTCATAGACTTGTTAAACGTTTTGGTTTCATCTATCCTTCCTTCCCTCCAACCTACTCTTACACCAGGCATCACCCGTCGAGGTAGGCGGTGATTGTGGATACGTAACACATGTCTCAACCACTTCAATTAATGAAAATCCTCTAGCTCATCAGACAATCCACCATATTTACCCAGTAGCCTAACCTAACCCAGGCATTGCTTACTTGATGGTCCTGAAATACACGACTAATGCTTTAAAAATATCTGTAATCAAGTACTGGTAACTTACGAGCATCCTTTACTCTTAATGACCATGTTCCACAACCGTAAAGTGGAGCGGAGAGAACTGCTACACAAAAAGCTCGTCCTTTGTTTGAAAGATGGATATCTAGCCTAGCTCCCAAATGCCCTGGTACGGCCGAGAGTGGGGAGAGTCCGCTCTCCCTCTCGAAATGCTCTCACATGGCCACGCGTATATAGCCTCTGTCAGGGAAGTCCTACTCACTGCCTTCTTGCGGGGGTTGTTTACGAAACTGAGAGGACAAAAAGCAAACGTCCGGCGCTTTAACCGGGTTGGTGGACATGGATAGTCCACCCACGGGAGTTGGAAAACCCTGATTCCAAACCACTGGTGCACATGGGCTCCAGTATCCTGAGTGAACAAATGGCGTATGAACCAATTATTGGTCACCGGCTATCATGGGACTGCATCTCCTGACGTCGCTCCACTGCCTTGTGGGTCAGACCTTCAGTTCGAAGGCTCCGGGTGTGGCCCCCTAAGAAAACCATCTGGTTCAGTTTGGGCACCCGGGCAGTATCACAGCCCTCACACATATCAAATGAGATCTGTGTGGCGCATATGTATTTGGTGCCTTATTGTACCAATAACTATTTGTTAAAATAAAATATGCCACAAGTGACGCACGTTACCAAAGCGAATCGAGATTTCTCAGTCCGTGCCGATATTTCATCTTGATCATCTGAATTTGACTGTAATCTATGTTTTCCTAATCCTAATATCACTAACAATCATGTAATTAATTTACCAAATGCAGATTCGTGTATTGGACTTTGAGCTACGCTACTTATTGGCTGAAGTAGGTGGGATTAGACTTGAACTTTCGTCTTAGTAATTGAAGGACTGATACTGTAATCATTGAACCAATCCTATACTTCACTCCAACCACTATCTCTGTATAACATTGTTTTATAGTATTCACTTGTAATTGAGTTATGTAATATCTGACATGGTAGTTTAGTTTAAACCAATATATGTAGTTAAACTATCATTCATATGATAACTTTATACATATGAATCGGTGACTGATTTCAAAGTTAAAAACATGAATAGCAATCAACTCTCATAGTTACATAATAATAGTAATTCTGAAATCACTAGCTAGAATTCTAATCCCTTCTAAACTTTTTATTCAATCAGAAAAAGACGAAATTGTTAATAAGATAATTGTATTTAAATATTTTATTTCTTATATTTTAATACAGGATACAGTTTTATTTAATGATACAATATATTATAATATACGTTACGGACGTCAGTCAGCTGATCGAACAGATATTGAACAAGTCGCCATTGCCGCTGACATACATCGATGTATTTTAGACTTTCCAAAAGGCTATGAAACAATAGTTGGTGAACGGGGTTTAAAATTAAGTGGTGGAGAAAAACAACGTGTAGCTATTGCCCGTAATCTTTTAAAGAATCCAACTATTATGATTTTAGACGAAGTAGGTTGAATATGTATATTGCACGGTAATTTTTAATATATATATATTGGTAATATCAACTTGTTTTTTTTAATGAACGTTCTGATCAATTATTGATAAAACTCATATACTACAATGAATATTGACTTTTTTTCTTTCTGGATATGTATTGCGAGTTGTTATAAGAGATGAAGTATCAGAAATCCTATTGTCTGGAGAACTGGATTATTTATTTCGGTCGAAGCTATTTTGAACTTGTTAGCAAAAGAAATCTCTGTACTCTCCTTACTAGGATTATCTACACTTTTTAACAAACCAATGTATATTCTGAATTTTGTGGTTAAAGACTCGACTAGTTGAATATGTATACTACAACTGACCTTCTATGGCAGTCTGAAATAATCATTGCTTAATCAACAAAAATATGGGCTAATCTTTCAATTCGTTTTTTCAAGTGAAAATGTAAAATAAAAGCTATTAGTCAATTCATTACAACATTAGATATGATATGGTTAGATGCCGTCAGACATCCGGAACTAAGTTTTTATGTTCAGTAGATATGTCGATTATTTACGAGAAACAGTCGAGTTAAGTTTAATAGAGTACCTTAACTCTATAAGGTTTAACTTCTTAGATGTAGATTCGTGTACTTGAAATTTCATAAAGATCAAGCGGTAAAATAATTTCATCTATCTCTGATTAACTTCAGCCATGTTCAAGGATATAATCCAGTTGACTAACTATTAGTCTAACATTGTATTGTGACTTATAAACATATTTACTTCATGTTTCTTAATCGTTGTATGCTGTCACTCGAATGAACGCTTTGATTTTCATTTTCGGGTAGTGGAGATTATTGACTACAAATCGTGTATGCGCATTGCTGAGGAGTCCCATACTAGAACGAAACAGTCATCTAGTGCTTTCAGGTTTTAAATGGTGACTTAACATTGATCGGTTCGTGATTTGAATGGTTTTAATCTTCCCTCAAGAATCACTAATGACAATATGTATTACTGAAGATGTCTAGACTGAGTTATACCGATTCATCACGTTGACTTGGTAAAGTCAAATAAGTGACCATACTTGCATTTCTTATACTTGTTCAAATATGTCTGAATTCAGGCTAGACATGTTTGTAGTTCATTTTGACAACGTTCAAACATTTGTAGCTTCAGGAAACTAAGAATAGGATTTCATAGGCTGGAACTGTCAGGAATATTCAAAGAGTAAGAGAGTGTACAAGTTATGAGAGTCAGGATTTTAATAAGAGGTGATCATTAAAGAGTAATAGAAAAATAAGGGTTGATAACTATTGTTGTTATTTTACAGTTAGGAATATACACGTGAATGATAGTTCGTGACTGTCCGTATAATGAACACTTTCATCTTTTTGAACTGTTTTAAAGAAAAAAACGTTGTCTGACCAAATAGGCCAGGTGAAATTTGTTTAAACTGAGTAACACTGGAGTATTTTACACGTTGTGATAGTTGAATTATTCTGTCCATTTTGAACCACCCAATACCATAAGGTGATTTATAATGCATAGTTTTTATTCGCAATCTTTTTAAGCTAGTTAATTCAAGAACAAAAACATAGCATAACTGAGGCTCTTAATTGTCTTTGTAATACACCTTACTTTCGTCACATTCTTCTGCAGTCATCAATACGACTTCGTTTTCAAATCTCACTTACTGTGGACATTATTCGAATAATGCCAGCTCCTTTTAGTTCTATACCGTATCAACCACTCTTTCCAATATAGTAGAATCTTAATGATTGAAATGGCTAGTTGACTTGTCATATTACGTAAGTCCAAAACCATGCTGACAATAACAACTATCAATTGTGATACATTAATTTCTGCTTAATGAAGTTTCCATTCACTGGGACAAGAGGTACTACTAATAAACACTGTATTCATTTTCTTCCATACTTTTCATTAATTTTACTAAGAAATTTTGTTAGTGTTAATAGTATTTTTTCACAAATTCTCATGAACCAGACATTGTATATTTCAATTTTGATTTGTTTTTCATTATCAATTGTCCAAAAATCAGTTGGCAAAAAAATCAATTATTTCGTCTATCCTTTACACTTGACCTCTCCTATCATTGATTTTTTTCCTAATATAAAATATCTTTTCTCAAATTCGCTCCATTTTTTTAATAATTTAAGTAGATTTTTTATTTAGATACTTCCAAGCTGAGTTAAACATATCTCTTTATTATCAGATGGGTTTTGTGGAGATTGTAGTAATTTCAATGGTTAAGATCATGAGTCAGTTGAAGCTAGACTACCATGGAAAACCTGGAAGCACTGGACGGCCGTTTCGTCCTATCGTGGGACTCCTCAGTAGTGTGCATCCACGACCTCGCCCCCTGCGAGATTCGAACCCAGGACCTACTGGTTTCGCGCGCGAGCACTTAACCACTAGACCACTGAGCCTGCATCCAACGGTTTTTATGTCTAACTTCAACTAATCCACGAAATTGAGTGACACATTCACCATTGTCTTCAGTGAGTTACTATCTCACAACAGACCTGGTCGAACTCCACTGGTCGCTACTTCTCACTAGAACTCCAGGATATACCTCGTGAAGCCAGTCACTAGTGAGCATACGAAACGGCCGTCCAGTGCTTCCAGGTTTTCCATGATGGTCTAGCTTCAACTGACTCATGATCTTAACCATTGAGATATCTCTTTATTGTTGAGTGTATTTCTTCTTTTTTCAGTTTTACTTTGAAATACATTTTTCTAGTATTTAAATGTAAAATCTAGATATATATAAGTGAAGAAACGGCATACAAAAAAATAGGATTGATCCGAATTCAATGTGAAATTAACTATGTTTTTTTACATCTTGTGATAAATGGTCAGTCAGTCAGTAACAACGTAGAACTTCGTACGTACGTCGGTACATCAGTTCTAAACATAAACGTTAGTCTTTTTTTCAGAAAAATAAAAACATTGATGAAAATTGTATCCTATTTATTGTACTTGTATTTATGAAAAATGACAAAATAAGTTTAGGTTAATCATTCTGTGAATCAGTTGAAAATTAACCACTAATCTCTAACAACAATAAGCTATCAGAATCATTTAATAAAATGAATAATATAAAACAAAGAATACTTGTCTACATGATTCAGACTCATTATAAATGCTGGTCATTAGATGTATCTATTAACCTTGAGACATTAATTTTCTTTTTCTAATAGAGATGGGAAATTCATCCCACTTCTAACATTGGCTATTACTGTATCCTGTAAAGTGATTGAAAAACATAGTGTTTCACTATTGATGAAACTTTATTTAAGTTATCTAAGTGGAAATATTATGTAAATGGTTATTTGAATGTAAGCCATTTATATTTGAAATCTCTTCATCATATGTAATTGTACATACAATTAAAATATATTCTATTTATCTATTTTTAAACAATATATTCATTCATATGTCCTTGGACTTTATTGTCGTTTAGTATAATATCGTCATGCGTACAGGCTTTTTAGCTAATCCGTGTAAGATATTAAAAAAGATATTAAGTAACATTACTCAAAATTGATTACTGTTGAATGAATTCACTCAATCTTTCTTCAAATCTGTAATATCTCATCATCTCATATTTATCTGTACATTAAATAAAACAGATGTATGACCTATTTGTGTGATGTAAGTCTGAACAGTGTACAGAAACATCGATAATTAGACAGCGATATCAGTCAATCATTTGCAACACAGAAACTGGCACATTTTTTCTCATCGATTTAAAATACCAAAGCATATCAGCCCAGCTAGTAGTCTAAACAGTAATAATATTTGTGCTAGTAGGAAGGATTAGATATAGAAGATATAGTTCGAGGGAAAAAAATTGAAATCGTGAAATAGTAAAAATGTATAAAAAGTGTTTTAGACATTTAAGATTTAAGTAAAGATAAAGACTAAATCTCTTGCGTCGTACACCCCTATAATGTGGTGACCAGTTCTATTTACACATACTTTCAATTAATCTCAAATTATACCGTTGATATCCATTACTCTGTGTTAAAAAGAGAGTTTCTTTAAAATTGTTATGATTGTTAACTAATTGCATGGTAGAACACTGCATCTTATTAGAATGAACCACTTCATAATCGTTTTACTGAATGTGTTTTCCTCATGGAGTTTTGTTCCTCAACTCGAATGAGTTCATCATTCCAATGATAGTTACATATAATATATACATATATACCATTTTTTCGCATACATTTTAGGCTACATCAGCATTGGATACAACAACAGAACGCAATATTCAAGCTAGTTTAAATCGTATTGCACAAAATCGTACCACTTTAATTGTTGCACATCGTTTATCAACAATAGTTAATGCAAATGAAATTTTAGTTCTACATGAAGGTGAAATTGTTGAACGTGGTACACATTCGGAACTATTATTAAATCCCAAAAGTCGTTATGCTCAATTATGGCGTCAACAAAGTGAAGTACAACAACAATCATCAACATTCTCCTCTACATCATCTTCGTTATTGTTACCAATTATTAATGAAAACACAGAAAATGTGTCCAATCCAATAAAGAGAACAAATCAACTTGTTGATGTGTAATATTTTCAATTTAATATTTATATAGGAAGTTAAATCCAATTCTAATATATCTTCATAAAATACTTTGACATCATAAAAATTAGTCATTATTGTGTACGTATATATATATATATATATATATATATATATATATATATATATAAAGATTAGATAAGCTTTCACTGTTACAGTAACTAGAGAAGAAACATAGTAGTGGTAGTATGTCATCTTTGATATCGTCTACGTCCATTTGTAATGTTTCACTTTTTGTTATTTAGAAAAGCTTTATCTAACTCATCATATATAAATTGTAAGTGCATACACTCATATAACTAGTTACACTGTAATTTCAGTAGATATTTTAACAATTACCTATATATATATAAAGTATATATTTTGTCAAAGTTCCTATGTTTATTGATTGTTCAGTAGTAGTGAATATATATTTCATGACATCTGTAAATGGGAATTTTTTTCCACTTTTTATCTATACACTAAGCATACTGTGTCTGCCTTATTATATATATATATATATATATATATATATATATATATATATATATATATATATATATATAGTAATGATAGTCAATAAATTTAGTACTGTTTAGACGGCTAGTCGATATATATATAAGAATAAATTTTAAAAGCATAAATGAAATAAATAGGCATAGGATCTCAATTAAATCGTTGAAGTGAACATACCAATACTGTGACTATAATCGTCATCATGTACAAATTTTACAATTAATTATACATATAAATAAAACCGTTAGAATATTCATGGTTTAGTATAAATCATTACAGTGATATATTTTGTCATAATTTTCAGTAGTATTAAATGTAAACATTCATTTTATAAGTTTCAGGAAATTTAGAAAAACATTTAAGTAATAAACGCCAAAGGTGTAATGAATTTACATCCAATACATTTCTTTAGTTCATTGTCTTTAAATAAGTCCTATTGAAGATTTATGAGTGACTGGTACTTCTTAGTTTCTCACAACTGTGAAAACATAGTTAATTCTTATTGGAATCTATAAACAAATTCACTTTAGTATTGATATTTTCTGTGACATGAGAATTCAGTGCTCAAAGAACAACTGTCCAAGGCCGATCACACGAGTAATTAATTGCTTTTTGTCGTATTAACTTTAGACTATTCAAGCCTTACCCCCAGGTACAAAGTGATCACACTAATACAGACATAACTCATCTTTATCTGCATCTGAATACTAAATTTTAATATCGTTCCATAAGTTTTAGCTTGACATTTCATTTGGTCTTCTCAAAATAAATTACTAAAGTTTAATTTATGCTTTAATGACACTAATATTTTCGTCTCACATATTTTTCACCTTGTTAAGTCTTTCTCGCTGTGCATACCATTTTGAATCGATACAAATCTTTCCTTGCTTGTACATTGTTTCTCATTGGTTACCTTTAAACACAATACATTACTTCTAATGTTTACCAACTTATCATTAAAACTGCATTCTTTTTTTACTGTCTACAATTGGTACTGATTAGGAGTCGATACTATTAATTAATCAATGACTTAGTCATGAAAGTCAACGAGTGTATTCATGTTCAATTGAATTTCTGCTAACAATTGAACAAGCTGAGGCGTTAAGTCGCAGTAAAAAAGAACTTTGTAAATATTGGAAGGATTTTGACCAGGTTTTTTGCGATGCACTGGATTCAACTTCCGAATGGAATGATGCCGTCCAGCTCTAAGTTTTATGAGGAATAAGATATTTACTAGAAAGTAAAAAAACAACTCGTTTGAAATTACTTGTCATGTCATTGTTGCCTTAACGAAAGTAGGGACTGTTTTATTATTTCCAACGTTTGTTTTCCTTAAATCAGTCTTCGTTAGTTAATCAGAGCAAAAACCAGTCCTTCTAATCCTTATTGGATTCTGTTGATCAAGTTGCAGTTTGACGACTAGTCTAAGTAACTCCACTTTGCGTGCATTTTTTTTATGTTAGGTGGTTAGGGGAAGTCAGTAAATAACTCTCAACTGTGGTCTTACGTTAGTCGGTACTCGTCAACAAGGTGGTCTGAATAACTCGGTGGTTACGTTTCAAATGATGTGGCATGACGGCATCGAAGCATTGGCGACGTCAACATCATTTTTTGTTATTGACTGTTGATTGTAAATTTAAGACTTTTTTGAATGCTATGAAATCTTAACAGGGAGCTTTATTGATATCGGCCAAACATATTACACTATTGGATCGCTCGTTTTCTAAAGTAAAATTATTGTTTGGTCCGAAATTTAAATAATATAAACACTAGAACTGTTTATATTTTTCATGTTTCTTAATCCATCAAAGCAAATTACTCCTTTCGTCACGACAACGATAACATGATAAGTAATTTCAAACGAGTTTTTTTATTTTTTAGTAAATATTTTATTCTTCATAAAACCTAGAGCTGGACGGCATCATTCCATTTGGAACTACAACACCAACCTTATATTTGGCAATTTAATAAATTAATATTAATACATTTCAAAATCAATACCACTTGGAGTCATGAAGCCCATACCAAGACTTGACCTGTCTTTTCTTGTAGATGGTTCCAGTCAACAAAATCCATATACAACCAACCTATCTTTTCGGTTGCCAAACAGTTTTGTACTTACTCCAGTAGAGTATTTATATCCCTAAAAAATTATTTGAGCCCTTTGTTATACTATTTTTTTCAAGCAGCTAATACCTCAATCATAAACGTACCATTAACTCCTACAATCAAGATCCCGTTTTATATAGAATGTCAAGTCTCGAACCTTCAGACAGTCATTTTATAAACTGCTTGCAGCTGATGATTGATTACACTTTTTAAATTTCTGTAAAGGCTTAGATTTCGCCAATATGATATTCAGTGACTGATTAGAGCTAGTCAATCCCTAAGTACTTTTAAATAAACCTTTTTATGTCCACCCAACTGCACAACTAAAGATCATATTACTTACGCCTGTTACCCCTCGTAAAGGAGCATAGGCCTTCCACCAGTATTCTCTATCGAACTCTATCCTGGGGAATCATTTCCAGTTGCTACTCATCCTTTTCGTGTATGCCCTTTGATGCAGTTTGATGATTTTCTCAATGTATGTCCCATCCAGCTCCAGCGTCTTTTTCTCCTAATTGTCTCTTCAGATGGAGGTTGGTTTGTTCTCTGCCATAGTAGGTTGTTGCTGATGGTATCCGACCAACGGTCATTGAGTATCTTACGTAGACAATTGTTTGTAAATACCTGTACTTTTTTATGGTTGTAGTAGTTCTCCAAGTTTCAGTTCAGTACAGAACTGTCTTAACATTCGTACTGAAGATTCTGACTTTGATGCTGGCTGACAGTTGTTCGAGTTTCATATGTTCTTCAGTTGTAGGAATGCTGTCCTTGCTTACTCATCTGCATCGGATTATCCTTATTCGTCGATGATGGATCGACAAAAGTTTGAGAGACTTAACTTACCAATTTAAAAATCTTTAGTCCTATATTATTGAGAGGCAATCTGTAAAGCTGAAGTACGTAACCTTTAACGAGAATTTCCGTTCAGTACTTTTACCACTAGCAGTCTAGAAGTTTTTCTGTCTGTTTTAACTGATATCATGGGATATACTAACAACGAGTAGAAAATACAGATAAAGTTTTGCATCGACTCAAATTAAGCAATATTTTATCCAAACCGAGTTTCATTCACACCATAGATGCATTATCGGTGTCTTTGTATTCCGCCACAAGCTTGAATATCGTAATGCCCACTATGGGTACGGAATTTCCTTTCATCTTGACATTGAAAGTCCTATTAATACACTGAAAGCGTTTTTAAGATGCACTCTATGTAGCGTACATGCATAACATTTGCCAATCATCCCAAATTAAGTTAATTTGGATACTGTTTTCCAACTTATCTCGATATCAATCTAACTCTGTCATGAACAGTATTCTAGAGAGAATTGTGGAGAAATTGCATGCTGATGTAGATCTGTCATCTTAAACAGGAAACTGTCCATGTACTTCCTTTAGGTGACGTACAGTTGGAAAGAAGTAAAAGTTCGCGTGCCAGTATAACTGACAAAAGCGATTCTTTATACATTGAGCTTAGTGCTGTTCTAATTTAAGCCATATTTGATGCCCCTGTGATGTTAATCTGGTTTTTAAAAGGTAGTTTACAGTGCCTTGGTGTCAATAAACATAGTTTACCCTTACAAAACTTGATTCTAAGCTGAAGATAATCGATGTCTGTTTATTTGGTAATCGTTGAATTCGTAGCACTAATTATGTATGGTGGCGACCCCAACTGCTTGAAGTAGTTCGAATACATTATTTGAGTGCTTACATACTACCAAAGCAAGTAGTAATCCATACATCATGTAAAAGAAAACATCACATGAAATAATAATGTTTATATCCAGAACAAGGTGCTCTGTGTGAACTAGTGATCGTAATCATAATTATTTAGAGAAAAAGAAAAAGCAAAAACAGTCAAAACTTGGAAAGGGACAAACAAATATGATTAATAGTTATAACATAAATAATGCCGCTGGAGTGATAAAAAGTGTATAAGTATGCGTGTGTATGTGTTGAGTAGTGGCATTCAAAAGTAAGAAATAAAATAATGATGGCGCTAAAAGTGGTGTGCAGAGTAGTAAAAAGTAAGAATAAGCTTAGTAAAAGTTTTAAAATGTGTTTCAATATTATGTATAGTGTAGGCTACTCAATATTTTTTAAAAAAGACAATCGAAATAACGGTAGATCACTCAACAGCGAGTTAGTTACAATAAAAAAAGTAAAAACAAATTAAGACAAACAACACATTGTCATACATTGATGAGCTATTCAACTTTCCTTCAAGAATAACGAAAGGTATAACAAAAGTACCTACTTACCTAAACTGAATCATATCATGTTGCTTTTTTCTTGTTCAATTCTTTAATCAGTGTTTATTTAGTTGTGTAGAAAATTTGATCTATATTTCAATATGCGATAAGAAAGTCAACAAACCCACCAATCACATAACATATTATTTATCCAACTATAACAACTGTAAATTAAAAAGGCAACTGGAATTCATATTCCATATAAAACAAAATTTCAAAATAAAACATTCCATCGAAAATCGAAAAGCTTAACATACAATTGCTTGGAGAAAAAACAAACGGACATTTGATTTTTTCCCTTTGTATTCATACTCATGAATAGATGGGTGGGTAGATGCGCATGTGTGTAACAATGGATCAGAAAGAAGAAAACCAACTGCTGTACGTTTATTGCAGCAAGAAAAGGAAATGGCTTTCAGGTTGAAAGCCTAGAGGCACCAGTATTTTTAAAAAAGACTAAAAATTAAGTCTAACTTTCGTCTCCAAAAAAAGAAAGATTCACATTACGGCAGGGCCTCCAAACCAATCAGGGTCGGTTTCTTCTAATGCCATTAAATCGGGACTAAGATAACCAGCACTAACATTTCGTGAAGGTATTGCAGGTGAAGAAATTGAAGCAGCGTGT